TTGATTGAACTATATAGTTTTTAAGCTTTTTATGGCTAACTGGTGAAAAACTATTAGGTTGACCTCTATGTGGTGTTTCTCGGGTAACGCTGGCACACCTAAACTTTTTATATTTTAAATTCAAAATTTAAAAATTCCAGTGTAAAACAAAAACCTTGTCGCAACTACCCAAGGTGACAAAGATATCGAAGTTGAAAAGCCTGATTTTAAAATAATGATAAATGATATTTACATTTATAAATCAATATGTTTTATATATGCAAATATTTTTTGAATGAAATTCAAACATAATTATTCATTTTTCAATAGTTTGTAAACGTTTATTTATAACGTTGTTACCTTGACCATGATACAAGGAATATGAAAATAATAAAACATAAATTAGATTAGAATCTAGATTAGCATTGATGTTCAATTAAGTATACTAGGTATAATATATTTAATGTAGCCACAACAAAATATCTAACTTAAATATACATAACCTAATTTATGTTAAATAATATTTGTATACTGTGGGGTTTTTTCATGCTTTATTCAGAATCTATTATTGTCAATAGAAATATAATAATAAGAAAAGTCATTGTCGATTTTTAACCACTATTCTGATATGAATAATGTGGTTTATAGGATCGTTCGGCTTACCTCCCCCCCACCCTATGGAGAATAACATGGGATCCCATGTTAATCCTATGGCTATACTTAACACACTGTGAGTGAAAACCAGTAAAAAGGAATCAGTAATTAACCAAAAAACAGGATATGCTTTGCGAATAATTAGACATGGATGGTTAATTAGACGTTGCAAATATATGAGTAATTTTAAATGCTTACATGTGAGTAAATATGAATAGACATAGATAGATAATTATATGTAAAAAGTTTTTTAAAAAAGTGACTGGGCCGGAATCGATACCGGGCTTATCACACTCAGAGTCGTAGACGCTATACACTGCGCTATGCAGACATTACACAATCATAGTAACTCAATCTCACTTTTATAGATAACTGATTAATTTGAACATTCATGAGTATTTCTAATTTCATGATTTCATAGGACTCTCAAACCAATCGCACATTAACTTTGATATCTAAAACAATACAAAGCATTGGAAATCTTGTCAGTTCTAAATGTGTATGTATTCTATAATTTTGCATACATTTACAGTATATTACACTGTGAGTGAAAACAAGTGAAATGGAATCAGTAATTAACCAAAAAAGAGACTATGCTTTGCGAATAATTAGACATAGATGGTTAATTAGACGTTGCAAATATATGGGTAATTTTAAATGCTTATATGTGAGTAAATATGAATAGACATAGATTGATAATAAATGTGAAAAAGTTTTTTAAAAAAGTGACTGGGCCGGGAATCGTACCGGGCTTATCACACTCAGAGTCGTAGACGCTATACACTGCGCTATGCAGACATTACACAATCATAGTAACTCAATCTCACTTTTATAGATAACTGATTAATTTGAACATTCATGAGTATTTCTAATCATGAGTTAGAGGGTAATATGTTTTGCCATTCCAGTCATGAATTGTATTCTGTCATTGACTGTGATTATGAGATGTCATTATATGAACGATTAGTTTTATCCATCACTAAGACTCACACACAATACGTCCACAAAATGACACATTCACCCACAAGTGGTTAAATAGTTTTACACATTTGCAAGTTTTAACCATCACTAAGACTCACACACAATACGTCCACAAAATGACACATTCACCCACAAGTGGTTAAATAGTTTTACACATTTGCAAGTTTTACTCATTTTGGTTGAATGTATTTACCCAAAAATTTGATGGGTAAATGTTAGTAATGCAAAATAATGCAAAATAATTACAGTGTAATTTGTTTTATTATTATTTATATACAGAAAGCAAACGATAAAACTCTAAAAATATTTGGTTTCAAGTTAACTATTACTAAAGATGTGAAACCGTATATGTATATGTTTTATAAAGACTTCTTGTCAATCATAAACATTGATTTTAACCGAGATTGTATTATTTTGGACTTGGTATACATTTATTTATACATATTTAAATTTGATATAGTATATTTTTAAATTCTTGACAAACTTTTATTTAAATATATAGTTGACAGCAATACTACTGTTTGATCCAAACCGACCAAATTTAATACACAGGGATGTTGTGAAGTAAATATTAATTACGTAAATAATCATTACAAATAATTAGTTGCTTTATTTCCTATTTCTAGAGCCGAACAGCAATTATATATTTATTTACTCCAAAGATATCTAAATTTGAAATACGGATCAAAAGCAGAATCGCAGACAAAATGGACAAAACTTATGAAAACATTAATAGATTTACAAATATTTCATAATTATAATAAAAGTTCAACAGAAATATATTTGGATTCTTTTGGCCCTTTACTTAAAGAGATGATTTTTGATGTGACTACTGTTTAAATATTCACTATGTAAATAAATATTTTAACCAATATTAAACTATTCTGAATTTTATATGCTGTTTACATTTGTTTGTATTGATTATTATAAATCTCAAATCATTTATAAAATTAAGACTATAAATATAACCTAGTTAATCTTGCAATTCTCTACATTTATAATTTTATAATGTTTATCATACAAAACATAATCAGTCATCTTATTAAAGATAATTGCTATGTTAGATAACAAGTAAGCAACCCATTGGAGATAGTGTTATATGATTTTTATATACAGTAATAAGGGTATTGTATACATGTACCATTAGTCATGTTATTTTGGATTCACTATATTCTGGATATTCTTCGCGCATAAATTACGTAAAGAAATCACAGTTTAGCTTAATAAAAGTTTATTCAACAAAAAACATAACAATTCGTGGACGTTACTATTCGGCGAAGAATATCCAGAATATAGTGAATCCAAAATAACATGACTAAGTGTATGTAAACATTGTGTATTTCATAGTCTTGTAGTAATAAACCGTATGGAATTGTATTTATTTATAAATTTTAATTATTACACTAATTTAATTATCAAGATAGTAATTAGTTTAGCAAATGCCACGGAAAAAGCAATGTGTCATTTGTGGTGATATAGGAGTTGGTAAGTAAATTGCTTATAAATAATTAAGGTTTTGCTACATATTTATTTTAAAATGTAGGTAAAAATTTTGGTGCCGTAACATGTGAGCCGTGTAAAGTATTCTTCAGACGAAAGACTCTTGAAAATAAAGTAAATAATTTGTTTAATAAAATATGTTTTAAATATAAGTAGCAATCAATTGTTATTATGATTACAATTATTAGAAACAAAAGTGTCGTTTTGATGGCAATTGTATTATTGATGTGATGTCACGGAAACGCTGTACGAGTTGTCGGATGAAAAAGTGTATACATTTGGGAATGAAAAAAGTAAATATTAGTAATAATTTACTTAATAGTACTATTGAATTTAGTTAATTGTGATTTTTCAAATTATTTAGGAATTTGTTATTAATCATGATCGAAATGACTCGGAGAATACAGACATATTTGATTCAATTAGCGATACGACCAGTAGTTTATGTAACGATACAATCAGTTGTTTAAGTAACCATACTTTCGATGATATTACTAGTGATAGTGATAAGCAATCAAATGAAGTTTCAATATATATGTCTACCAATAGTAATAGCAGTAATGACTTAATTCAAAAATATGAGATTAAGAATATCGATGATATGTTTGTGAAGTTGTCATTCAGTCCAGTATTCAGTCATTTAGGCAATTATAAAGGGTTTAGTGATTTGGAAACAAGCAGATTAACCGAGGTGGTTGTGTCGACACAAGTATTCAATTATAAATTAAATTACAATCCCAGAGATGTGTGTGAATTAAGAAATATGACTGAAATTCATTCACTTTATATTAAAATGTTGGAAAGAGATGTCGAGGATCTGATCTCTTTGACTAAAAACCTTAAATCATTTAACAATCTGTGTCTTAACGATCAGTTGGCGCTCATTAAGTACGGCTGTCATGAGATACTTATGCTCCGGTACTCAATACTGTATAACTTTAACATCGATTCTTGGATATGGGCTTATGTTTGTATATTATATTCAATTATAATCAATTTTATATTAATCTATTTAATTATTAATTATTTACAGAAAGCAGTGAATGAAACTCTAAAAATATTTGGATTTAAATTAACTACTCTTACACATAAGAAACCGTATAATTATATATTTTATAAAGACTTCCTGTCAATTATAAACATTGACTTTAACCGAGATTGTATTATTTTGGACTTGGTATACATTTATCTATACATATTTAATTTTGATATTGAATATTTTTAAAGTGTTGATAAACTTTTTATTTGGAATCTAATTAATTTTCAATCAATAGTTGACAGCAATACTACTGTTTGATCCCAACCGACCCAATCTAATACACAGGGATGTTGTGAAGTAAATGTTAATCACGTAAATAATAGTTACAAATAATTAGTTGTTTTAATTTCTATTTTCAGAGCCGAACAGCAATTATATGTTTATTTACTTCAAAGATATTTACATTTAAAATACGGATCAAAAGTGGAAACGCAGACAAAATCGACAAAACTTATGAAAACATTAATAGATTTACAAATATTTCTTAAAATTAATAAGAATTCATTAGACAATTATTTGGATTCTTTTGGCCCTTTATTTAATGAGATAAGGCGTCGATAAAGTATATTTTTACTTTACATCTATAAATAAAATTGATTAGAAATTAACATGGTCATGAAATCGTGGGCGGGCCAGCGATGCGCCAAAATTGCATTATAATTTAATATTTATTTGTTTAATTTTTTGTGCTCCTGATTATGGTAACATTTTGTTCATATTTTGTATATTAAATTATAAAGTTGATAAAAATTTGAGTTTTTAGTTATGTTTGATTTCTGATATTTATTTTTTGTTGATAATTACTTAGCAATCAAATGATTTGCAAATTATTTACTAATATATTATGAGATTATAAACACTTTGACTTTCAAATCCCCATTAAATATATATTGTTTATTAAATTTGTTATAAATATAATTACTATATAATCTGTATTATAACTTAATTTAATTACTATAACACTAAATAAATAAATGCCAAGAAACTCTAAATCTAACTGTGTTATTTGCGGAGATAATGGAGTTGGTAAAGTAGAATAATTCACAAACAACCATGTTTATTTTAAATAATAAATATGAATGATTATGATAATTAGGCCGAAACTTTGGTGCCATAACATGCGAGTCGTGCAAAGTTTTCTTTCGAAGGGCTGCCCTTTTAAGCGAAGTAATTGCCTCAATAAAAATGCAATAATTTTTACCATAATGTTTATATTTGTAATTATTAAAACCAATTTTAGACATTAAGGTGTCGTTCAAACGGCAATTGCATTATCGATCAAAGGACTCGCAAAACATGCCAAACGTGTCGACTCCGCAAATGTTATTCAATGGGAATGAGAAAGGTTTAATTTTATTATACAAATAGTAACTAGGGTAAACTGGGCTGATATTTTTCACTTATGTAAAAGACCCTGTCCATTTAAGTATAATTAGCACAATGTAATTGATTATTATTATCTAGATTATATAATATACGTGCAAGATCATTTTAGTTAATAATAATAATATAATATTAAACACATGTTTTGTAGGAATTTATAAGAATTAAAGAATCGGATGTAAAGTCAACACAAGAGGCAAACAACGAGATGACTGTTTGCACGAGTAATCAGATATTGAACGATACAAACGATGAAAACAGTGTATTAAATAAAATTATTGAAAATAACACAACAAATGGCGATAAACTAATGCAACAAATCAAAGAGATTGAAAGCTATATATTGAGGATTAATAATCGCATGAATGACAGCGATATGTTTGAAATGCCCATAAGATTATCGCATAAACCAGTGTTCAGACAATTGACAGATCATAAGAGTTTCAATGATTTAGAGTCCAGAAGAATGTCCGAACTGTTCCTCTCGTCCAATGTCTTCAAATACAAGTCATTTCACACCAAAAATATCATTGAATTGACAAATATTGTTGACATTAACTGTTCGTGTAATAAGATGTTGAATAGAGATGTTATGGATTTAATTAAGTTTACAAAACATATGAATTCATTCAATAATCTGTGTTTTAACGATCAGTTGGCGCTCATTAAGTACGGCTGTCTTGAGATACTGGTCCTCCGGTCGTCAATACTCTATGACATTAACACCGATTACTGGACAATGGCTTACGTTAGTATTGATTGGAAATTAATAATTATTTTGCGGTAACTTTTCATATATATTATGCAGAACTCGGACGACCAGAGAGTAGACTCATTCAAATTGGTTGCCTTAAAGTCTGAGAAAATTAATATTTATGAATATTATAAAAGTTATTTGACTAAAATCGTGTCTGAATGGAACAGGGATTATATTATTTTGGACTTGGTAATTTTATTATAATTTTACTTAAGCAATAAATATTTTAATAACTTTTGGTTTGTTTTATAAATAAAGTTGACGGCAATAATACTGTTTAACCCAAATCGACCCAATCTTACCCACAGGGATGTCGTGAAGTACGTATCGATAATAATTATATTTATAAACATTTATTTATTTAATTAATATAATTTTAGAGCCGAACAGCAGTTATATATTTATTTACTCCAAAGATATCTACATTTAAAACATGGATCAGAATTTGAGACACAGATAAAGCTCTCAATACTAATGAAATTAATGTCAGACTTAGAATATCTATGCCTTTTGAAGAAGAAAAATGGCGGCGACTTCTACTTGGATTCATTTGGACCTATTCTTCAGGAGATTCTGTACGATATAATCAATACTTAGGCATAATGTTTGCCATTTGGACTAACTTATGGTTACTCTATTTATAAGTTTAAGATAGGGTTATATTAATGATAATATTAAACATTTATTGATTTGTAAATGTGCTTTTAATTATTGCATAATGCACTAAATTGATGTATGTAACTCGAGATAAATTCTTGTACTTATATGTAATGTATTTCTATGCAATTAAGTGTTTATAATAAATATTCAATTAAAGTGTAATTCAGAAAGAGTTGTAAAATTTTACAATCATGTGATTCACGAGAGTTATATAAATAAGTGATAAAACTTTAATACTTTACAAATTATATCGTTACAAATGTGTATTTTTATGTTATATTCAACAAATATTATCGCAATTGTATAATAAATTTAAACAACACGTCGAATTATTTGTTTAAAAAATAGTTATAATTTATTTAACTAAATTAATTGTGAAATTTTAAATTATGTCACTTAAAAAATATGAGGTTAAGTGTGTTATTTGTGGCGATAAAGCAGTCGGTAAGTTATTATTATTATTGTTTATTGATTTACTAGTATTTTTGTTATTAAAATTAAATTTTGTTGATTTTAGGTAAAAATTTTGGTGCAATTTCTTGCGAGTCGTGTAAAGTTTATTTTAGAAGAAATGCATATAAATATCCCGTAAGAGAGAGAGAGAGAGAGAGAGAGAGAGAGATTAATTAAGTGTCTATAACTTTTAAATATTGTAGGGTTTGAAATGCCGTATGAATACAAACAACTGTACAATTGATGGGAGATTAAGAAAATCGTGTAAATTCTGTCGTTTGTCAAAATCATTCGCAATGGGAATGCAAACTGTGAGCCAATATTTAATTTTTTATATTTAATAATTAATTTTAATTAACTAATCATTTATTTTTGCAAAACAAGTCATTAATAAAAAGCCAAGAAAGTGTCCGAAAGTGTGGCCAAACAAACGCAAACACATGTTTACCGGAAACTAACAGCACATCTGATGACAATTTACTAAACAATATCATTGAAAGGCAGACATTGAGTGACAACGAGAGGCTGAGCGAAGAGATCAAAGACATTGAATGCTATGTGAAAAGCGATAAACGCCAACACATTATGATCGCAAAACTGTCGATAACACCCGTCTTTCGGGACATTGAAAACTTCAGCCAATTTAATGAATTAGAGTACCGCCGGCTGTCGGAGCTGTTCCGGGCGTTTGATTTGTTCAAATACAAGCCCTTAGACGCCGAGAGAAATGCATTATTATTAACAAATGTGAACCAAGTCTATCGCGTGTGCAATAAGATCATGGATTGGGACATAAAAGGCTTGATTAGGTTCACCAAAGACTTGAGCACTTTTAGCAACATTTGCGGTAACGATCAGTTGGCGCTCATTAAGTACGGGTGCTTTGAGATACTGATGCTTAAGTATACTATGCTTTATGATATTAATACCGATTACTGGACGTGGGCTTCGGTTAGTGTTATTTTTGTGAATTGTAGTTATGATGTGTTCATGTTGTTTTAATTGATTTGATCTAGAGCACTGTGGGTCCGATAGTAGGCGCGTTTAAGTTGGATGTATTAAAGTATGAGAAACACAATTTGTATAATCATTATAAAGAATACTTTTATAAAGTGATTCCCGAATGGTGTCAGGATTATGTGATTATGGACTTGGTAATATAAAGCTAATTTTGTTATACTATATTGTGCTAACACTGTGTCGTATTAACATTAGCACTAAATATAATTAATTGTTAATAAAATATTAATAATAATTTATTATATTGTAATTAATAGTTGACGGCAATAGTTTTGTTTAACCCGAACCGACCAAATCTGACCCATAGAGACGTTGTTAAGTAAGTGTTTTATTTCACAAAATACAAGTTTTTATTGACTTTTAATGAATTTTATACTTTCCAGAGCCGAACAACAATTATATATTTATTTACTTCAACGGTATTTATATCTGAAACACCAGTCGGGAGTGGAAACACACCGAAGGCTATCCAAACTGTTGAGTCCATTAACCGATTTGGAGATGATTTGCGATATCGAGAAGAAGAATGGACTCGAATTCTATTTGGATTCTTTTGGACCCATTCTTAAGGAAATTCTTTACGATATAACGAAATAAATAAATGTTTTATTATTTATAAATTCTGTTAATTAATGTTGTTATGAAATATTTACAATTTTTACCATTTTGTGATTTTTCATTTGTAATTATAATGATATTAAACAGATTCTGTTATCGCAATCGTAAATAATATACCCCTATAATGTACTCGACATTTATAGACAAATACTGTATTATTATATTAACGTTATGTTAAAAATTAGACGTTATTAAAATTTTAACTTAATATACTAATTACTATGAATATCCGCGTTTCATAAATTACATAACAAAATGTATGACAAATTTCTCACAACAAAAAGATATCACATTCAGTGTATTAGAGGGCACCCAATGTTCTTACAGTTCTATGTTATAACTTATAAGTTGTTGTAATGTACATGTTAACTTTGATTTCAGCCTATTTCATTATGTAATGGTGGTTATCATTATACTTATGATTATTTTCACTTAATATATCTAATAAGTAAATGTGACAGAAATACTATGTGCCAACAATTATAATATTATTATATTTCAATTTCAAAGTGTATTAAAACAAATATTTTGATACAATGGGCAGAAAGCGTGTGTTAATTATGTGTGATGTTTGTGGGGACACTGTTGTCGGTAATTATATTGATAACCTTATTGTGTGTTCAATTATTATCAAATATTACACTAATATTGCAATAATTTTTATTAATAACGTTTTAGTGGAGAATTTTGGCAAAATTGTTTGCAAGTCGTGTGAAGTGTTTAAACGAAAAACAACTCTTAAATATAAGGTAAGACCTAAAGAAATTTAAATTATTAATAAAGTTAATTAATAACTTATTGTGTTAATAGCTAATCAAATGCTGTTCCGGTCCGAAGTGTGTTATAACAAAACAAATGCGAAAACTATGCAAAACATGTAAAATGAATGAATCGTTTACCGATAATGACAGGAAACCCATAGGCTTAACATTGGTAACAAATATATAAAACAATTAATACACAAATACTTATTAATAAATAATATTTGCAAATGTTTATTATTAACAGGACATTAAAAATAGCATTGATTTTCCTACAACTGATGACAACTCGAAAATAATATGCAAAAGTGATAAAACAATTAAACAAACAAACAGTGCATTTAGTTTCATACGTGAAATGTTTGAAACTGGTGAAACGGACTATAAAACATACACTCAACGTGTTAACAAAGCCGAGTGCATTATAGCGACCACCTCTTTGAGGGATCAATTAATGGACATTAGGGTAAACCTATCGCTTAAGCCAGTGTTTAACGAGATGATAGATTTCAACTTTTTCACCGAGCTGCAAATGCGACGAGTGGCCGAGTTGTTTAACTCGACCAACGTGTTTGACCACGAGCCGTCGCATCCTATGGCCATCATCGAGATAACCGACCTTGTTCAACTCAACCGGTTATGTGTGATGAGTATGGCCCAGGATGTGCGCGATGTGCTCGCCTTTGCCAACAACTTGCACTCGTTCAACAATCTGTGCCCCGGAGATCAGCTCTCGCTATTGAAGTATGCCTGCTATGAGATCGCTATACTTCGGGCCACTTTGTTGTTTGACATTAACACCGAGTACTTTACAATGATTTGTGTCAGTTGTTTGTTAATTAAATACTTAATTATTATATTTGTTTAAAGGATCATGTACATTTTGTCTATATTTGCATTTTTATATTGTTTAGTATACAGAGAATCCGACGATTGGTTTATATAAGTTGGATGTTATGAAGGAAGAGAAACACCACTTGTATTCATATTATAAAAGTTATTTGCATAAAACATTGCCCGAGTGGAATCGCGACCCGGTCATATTTAACTTGGTAATCTTATTTATTAATAAAATTATTATTTGTAATTATAATAATTAATTAATTTTTTAAAATTAATAGTTAACAGCGATTGTCTTGTTTAACCCAAACCGGCCCAATATATCCCATAGAGATGTGATTCAGTAAATAATTACTAAAATATTTATTTATTGATAATTTAAAATTCATTTCTTAATTGCAATTAATTTGAATTTGTTATTACAATTCAGAGCTGAACAAAAACTGTATATATATTTACTTCAATGCTATCTATATATGAAATGTCGATCGGAAGCGGAAACGCAATCAAAACTATCAAAACTGATGAATCCATTGACAGATCTTCAGGTGATTTGTGAGATCGAGAAGAAGATCGGACACGAGATCTATTACTACGAGTCCGTCGGACCTAATCTTAAAGACTTTTTTATGCAATATTAATGACAGGCAATTGTGCCCTAATTTTAAGGACTTTTGATAAATATGTTGATAATTAGTTGTTAATTAATTGTTGTACAATTATATGTTTCAATTGCACTTTACAGTGCATTTATGATCGTACATGATACAATAAATAGAAATTGAATATATGTATTGTGCGTACATATTTTGTAGGTGTATTTTGACCATGTTTCTATGAAACAATGTATTTGTTGATTGTTTCGTAGCATTTTTACAACAAGGTTAATAATAATTTGTTTCATTCATTATCGCAATTATGACTAAATATTGTATTTGTATAATAAAATGTGGTAAATATCACTGATTCTGACTTCTAATAAAATTATGGACGTTTTCAATATGTTGTGATGTTTTATAATTGTGAAAAATCATTTGTTGTACTTTATACAATAATATAAATAAATAAATAGTAAATTGAATTTAGTTTACTAATTAATTACATAATATTGTACTTATATTTGTTGATTTAATATAATTAGTGGTCTATATATGGATCAAAATATAACATTATTTGTTTGTGACATTTGTGGCGATACCGTAGTCGGTAAGTAATATCTGTAAACAGTATTTAAGTTATTTTATTTAACAAATATCTACTTATTTATCATGTTTAGTCAAACATGTTGGTTCAATCATGTGCAATTTGTGTGCAGTTTACATTCGGTCAAACGCACCACAATTAAAGGTTTATAATGACCATAATCAGATTGTAATTATTAAATTAATAAATACTTGTATAGCTTATCAAATGCTGTTCAGACGATAATTGTATTATAACACAGAGAATCAGACAGTTATGTAAATCCTGTCAATTAAACCAAAGCTATAAAAACGATGTCAATTCTGTAAGTGTTTAAAAAATATTAAAACAAAAACAAATTTTGTAATTATTCTGGTTTTTCAGACATTAATAATGTATAAAGAATCGGATAATAATAACAATGACAATAGTATAAGAAATAACATGTCAATCGCATCGAAATATCAAGATGAATTACTAAATAAACTAGGTAGAAACAATCAAACTAATTACGGTGGCAATGATGGTAAAATGGATAGATTTATAGCGGATAATAAATTTAATAAAATTAATGAAATGTTAGTAAAGCTATCATTAAAGCCAGTGTTTCGAGAGATAAGCGATTTCAAGTCATTCAACTCATTACAACTCATGAGATTGTCTGAGCTGTTCATCGCATCCAAAATATTCAGCGATAAACAGATTTACGCCACGAATGCGGTTGAGATGACAGACATCGTTGAATTGAACCGATTGTGTAATATAACAATGTCTGGCGATTTGAAAGACACGATCACATTTGCCAAAAGTCTCACCTCATTTGCCAACATATGCCCTATGGATCAGATCTCACTCGCAAAGTACGGGTGTCTTGAGATGCAAATATTTCGCTCCACAATACGCTATGATAGGGACACTGAACGCTGGACTCTGGTTTGGGTGTGTAAATTGAGCATGGTGATAATTTATAAATGTTTAATTGTGGTTATTTTGATTGTCATCTAGGCTTCAGAGCAGCCAAAGGCCGGCTGTTTTAAACTGGATGTGCTTAAGAAGCGACAAAACAATTTGTATTTATATTATAAAAATTATTTCAACAAAATTCTACCAGAATGGAATAAAGATTTCATTATTTTGAACTTGGTATTGTATTATTTAATTATTTATTTATAATTTACCACTAATTGAATAATTTATTTATCCGACAGTTGACAGCAATTATATTGTTTAACCCAAACAGACCTAATCTAAAACATAGAAATGTTGTAATGTATGTATTTTAGTAACTAATTATTATTATTACATAATACTTGTTATAATGTTTTATTTATTTTGCTATTCAGAGCCGAACAGCAATTATACATTTATTTACTTCAATGCTATCTATATATGAAATATCGTTCAGAAGCGGAAACGCATTCAAAACTATCAAAACTAATGAATCCATTGACAGATCTTCAGGTGATCTGCGATATGGAGAGAGTGGACGGACCGGAGGTTTATATGCAATCATTTGGACACGTGTTTTGGAAACAAAATTTTAACATTTGAGGCATAGTGTAGTTATAAACTTTGATTTTGGTTAAATAATTGCATTTTTAAATATGAAGTGTTTAGCTTAATACAATTGATTGTGCAATAGAGTGTACATGTACCAATGCACACAAATATCATGTAATTAGATTACATTATAATTAATATATCACACTAATATATTGATTGCAATTAACCAATATATTCCACCTACATTAATTATAAAAAACATTTAGTTACACACTGGTAAAAAGTGCATTCTTAGATATCTTACATCATAATATTATATTATGAGTTACTAATCCCACAATACAGTTGATTGATAATCATTACAATAATTGTAAGACAATTATTGTCTTATAAAATGCATTTATTTTCAATCATGTAATCACTTTAATATACAATTTTATCAAATAATTGTTTTATTATTTTACATTTCATTTGTTACGTAAAATAAAATTGTTTTAAAAATAATGAATTGAGATATGTATTTAATATTATTTAATTCATGAATATTATACATGAATTCTGTGTAGAATTTAATGGTGATCACGAATATAATAATTAAAACATTTTCCTTCACCTTTTATATATTCCTGGAAATTCCCAATTTTTGAGAGGAAAGATTCTACGAAAATTAGAATTTTCCCAAACGTGTCTAGCATGAGTTCTAAATTATAAGTTATAGTAAGGAATTTTTTTATAACATTTTTAAATTATGCATAAGATAACAGCTAACATTTGCGGATCAAACATTGCAAAGCATCAATTTCACAATTTATATTAATTGGTTAATAAATATATAAACAATATGGTATGTAAATTAAACTGTATTTATTAAGCTACAAAACGTTGCAAACTATGTTAAATAAAAAACATTTAAATTCTGTACATAAAGACTATTAATTTCCTGATAACTGGAGCCGCCGGAGGAGGGGTGGTAGCGATATCGGCTCAATCTCCGACTACGGCTCTAAGAATTGGTCGGCGTTTACCCTTACGTCGACCGTTCGTTACGTGATTACTGGGAGTCGTCGGTAGACTACGACCAGAATCAGTATTACTCGGCGTTTATATAAAAACAAGTATTTAATAAACAATTAATTAGAGTTACATTCGTTCAATAGTTAGAGTCGACTGTCCGGCGCTAAGGCTGGAATACAAGTGAAGTGTTTGCCATACAGTCGACGTCTTATATACTGGTATTACAACTCATATTCAATATAAAGATTAACAAATAGATAGTCGACGACTACTGATAAGTGAGTCGACGACACTAACAAATATACAATAGTTTAGGAAAATAAAATAGTGACTAAAGGTATAGGACGGCTGCTCCATCGCCCCGACCTTAACCGAAACACGTCCCGTCGTTTCTGTTACTCCGTTTCGTGCCATCGTTTGAGGCGCGCCTTGTGAAGGTCCGCTGCCATATCGTAGAGTCTTTGGGCTTCAGCCCCGACCTTGTTTGAGACCCGTACTTCCAATCCGTCGGCCGCCGCTACTCCTACTTGAGGGGCATACCGATGTTCGCGTTTCCGTTGGTCGTCGTATTCATGTCTTCTCCACATTGCTTCGCGTTTTCGTCGACCACTTCGAGATACCGTTGCCATTGTTTGCGAAACTTTTATCGTTCCGAGCCGTACCAGCGGTACCGCCACTGCGTCCGCGTTCTCGTCGGCGTCTGAAGTGTCTCCAATTGGTTCCATCGTTTCCGCATGTGATTCTCTGTCCGACGTCTCCGTTGATACGTCGACACTAGTGACTGGCGCTTCTCGCGCAATAAGAGGCAGAGCTGCGAACGCGTCGGCGTTCTCGGCAGAAATGTCTCCCTTTGGTTCCTTCACTGAAGATGATTCCGTGTCCGACGTCTCCGTTGACGCGTCGACACTAGTGACCGGCGCTCGTCGCGCGGTCCGTGAAATTCTCTTCTTGTATGTCTTTTTTTGTGTCGTATCGTAACTCTTGTTATGCGCGCCGTTAATCCAATCCAACACTCCCTGAGGAATAGGAATGTCATTTGACTCGAAAAACAACTTAACTTCTTTGGGTGAGGCGTCGATTGACTTGTATTTCGCGGCAAATTTCCGGTGTCTGTGTTGTTCGACGAATTCCGGCTTTAACATCACTTCATACGGGCCCACCAGTCGTAGACCAGGAATGATGGCCAGCCCGAGAGCCTCCGTCGCGTCGTTGCCGAGGATCACCACGTCGTCGGCGTGCTTCAGCACTACGAGGGGCACTTTGGCTGCCAATCGGTCGTACGCTATCCGGCAATCGTCGATAACTCCCATCGGAGTAGCTATACGCCCGTCGGTGAGCTCAATACCTCCTCCGCAGTAACGTCTCCAATGCCATCCCTTTGCCAACGCCAACCTCTTTGAGCAATACGACGCTTCGCTCCCTGTGTCCGTCATTCCCATCACTGGTGTCCCATTTATGACGACGATTATCTTCGGGACTCCGTCGCCCGTGTTCGCGTTAGTCTTCTTACCGCTAGCCACAGGCAAATAAGTGGCGGCGCTTTTTGTCTTCTGTCCGCCGTCTCTCGCGTTCTGTTTCCTCACACTCGTGTCTTCCTTCGTATCGGCGTTTTTGCGGGGCTTTGGACAGTCCCGACTCATGTGTCCCTCTTTTCCACAGTTATAACACAAAAATGGCTTCGACTTCTTCTTTTTGTTGTCCGATGAGGACGACGAAGACCCCGAGTCTGACTTCTCATCGCCCGATGCGTTCGACGATCCCGAGTCTGTCCTGTGGTCTCGTCTCCTCGAATGCGGTCTTCTAATCGGCGGCAAACCCTCTTGTTTACGCCAGCAATGCTTCTGTACGTGTCCTTTCTTTTGGCAATAATAACACGTCGGCGGTCTCTTAGAAGGGGAATCACTTCCCGATCCACTTGTCGACGACCGCCTGTCTGACCTGCGGTTACCACCTTTGCGGCCACTGCGTCGAGACCTAAAATCCTTCTTCCTTTCGTCGTGATCTTCTTGGAGTTGACACTCTTTGATGACCTCTTCCATCGTCGCGCAGCGCCTGATGGCCGTCGACGCCACTAAACTTATCACACCTTCTGCTATCAGCGAAATCAGCTCTGTTTTGGGGATCGACGTGTCCGCCTGTTTTGCCAATCGGGCCATCCGATGGGCAAAAGTCGTCAGTGCCTCGTCGTAATTCTGGCGTGCCTGATATAACGGTTTTATGTTTCCGTGTTCGGGACAGAAGTACGCTTTAAATTTCGTTAAATAGTCACCGCCGTCCTCGTCTGACTCGTCGGCGATCGACTCGAACCAATCCTTAGCGTCGCTTTCCATATATTGTGGAAACACTGTTAACATGTCGTCGTTATCCCATTTGTTACTTTCAGCGCACCGTTTGAAGTCCTGAAACCACGGCACAGCGTCCTTTCGTTTGCCCTTAAACATTCGCGGCGTCGCTCGGGTTAGTTTGGCCTTAAACTTCGGTTCGCTTTTCTTGAACGTCGTATTACAACGACTGAAACCCTCTGCGATCGCTTCTGCGATAGCCGTCGCGTCGGTGGGGCCCATGTTCGGGTAAAACGTCGACGAGTGTTGGCCTCCGCCTCCGAAATTGAAGCCCGACGACTGCCGAGTGTTGGCCTGCGTCAGCCTTTCGGTCAACTCGTCGACTTCCCGCTGTCTCAGGCGTTCCGACTCTTGTAACTGTTTTTCCTTCTCAATGAGTCGGCGATTAGTTTCTTCTCTTTCCGCTTCGAGTCGACGGTCAGCTTCCGCTCTCTCTTGACGTCTCTCCTCTACCATCGCATCCATTTTCTCTTTGAGGGCCTGTATTTCTTGTGCCCAAACTGATCGTTGTTCTGGTGTGTCCGCCATATGTCTCGTCGTACTGGCGTTCTCTTCGTCTCCCGTCGGGTTCCTATCAAATCCCTCGAAGTCCAAAACACCAGATCCACTCGTGTCGTCGAACAGGTCTTTAATCTGCTCCGAATAGGGTCTCTTGTCGTCGCTCATACAGCCCACGACTCAACGTATGCTTACGTGTGTTTCGCACTTGGGAAACACCCCCTTATGCCTGTCGATGACACGCCCACTTGACCACCAGTGACTCTAACTCTACGGGGAATCGGCGTCGCTTAAGAGGACACCAATAGCACCTCCACCACTTGGAGCCGCCGGAGGAGGGGTGGTAGCGATATCGGCTCAATCTCCGACTACGGCTCTAAGAATTGGTCGGCGTTTACCCTTACGTCGACCGTTCGTTACGTGATTACTGGGAGTCGTCGGTAGACTA